TTGTGATAGTCAGTAAGTGATTAATAATAGTAACAATGGTCTTGCTTGACTTAAAATGGATCACATTTTTCTCATTACTTCTTACCTCCTACTTTTTCTTTCAGCTTAGAAGATACTGTCAACAGCCATGTATAGAAGTGTGAATCACATGGGAGAGAACATATAGGTACTGATGATAGCAATATATTAATCTATACATCAACTTTGTGGAGAAGAAAATTGAGTGCAGCTGCATGAACATTTTGTAAAATGAGATAGAAAATATTGAACTATTTATAATTGTGTGGCTGTGGTAAATCTCACGGCCTGGAGAATTACTGGGTCTAAATACTAGCCAAATTTTTTTTAAATGGTAATAACATCTATCCAGACATAAAGGCTTACAGAGACATAAAATAACTACAATATATTGAACAATTAGTATTTCCCACTTAATTGTATTATTTCCGATCCCTACAACAAGCTGAAAAGGTTACAACTGAGAAAACAGGTCATTACAGTTAGTGTCAGAGCTGCATTGTCAAGTTCCTTGTTTGTAAAGACTGTGGGGTAGGAATGTGACTTCATTAAGGGCTCTCTTAATATCTAGAGTGAAGCTTCTAGTCTGTCCAGCTCAGCACCCCATCCAAAAAATTGTGGAAGCTGGAAGTTTCTGGAACTGATTCTGAATTCATACAAGTGGTTCCCTAAACCTACTGGATGCATAGACCAGGGTGGGCATGTTCATTGAGCATTTTTTCATATACCCACAAAACCACTTGTATATATCAAACAGATGCTGCACAGGCCACTAGAACTTGGAAATGTTTGGCTTTTTGCTGGGATGATAGTTCAGTTTGGAGCCACAGCAGCTCCTCTACTCCTGCCTTGTGATTGTATGTATCTGTAAAAGATAAAGGGCAATTAATATTTGATGAATGTGGTTGACTGAGTACATTTCCAAAGCATAGAGAACCAATAACTTCTTATTGATGGTGAACAGTAGATTCTCAGTGTGTCCCACCCCATTTTACCCTGAGAACTCACCCATGTTTCTAGAGAGGCAGGCTGGTGTTGGGGTGCCGCTATGATCTGGGAACCATGCCTTCAAGACCCTCCCTCATCTTAACAGATTACATTTATTAAACACATGTTGTATGCTGACAGTTTCAATGTGTTATCTTCTATCTCTCTCTTAAAACTTGTATTACAGTAATTTTCAAACTGTCAGAAGCGTATACAATGGTATAAGAAACCCCTACGTGTTCGCCATCCAACTTCAATAATTATCAATTTATGAATTCTTTTTTGTATACCTTAAGGACCTCTCAATTGTTTTGAAGCAAATCTCAGATTTCACATCATTTGTGAATATTCCAGAATGGGATTCTAAAGGATACAACTCATTATAATTCTTTAAATTTCACAATTGGCCTATTAGTGAGGTACCATGGGGTCTAATCTCTTAAATGAAGATAGTGAAACATAAGGAGGTTAACTGACTCGATCCAGATCACCCAACTTGTAAGTGACAGAGTTGGCACTCATATTCAAGCTGCCTGACTCCAGAATCTTACCTGTTAATTACCATGCCATATGGTAGCTACTAGATCCCTCTGCTGTGGCTAATCCTTACACCACAGAACTGGATCCTGAGACTAGAAGAGCAAACTTCCAGAGACACGGCTACTGATTACCATAAATTCAGTTACCCAACCATTGCTGCAAACTGGGTCTGTTTAGGTACAGAAGGACAGAATGGCTGAGTTGTCATCTCTAGTGTGAAAGGATCATTTTGAAATGTTAATGGGATCCAGGCAGAAAAACTGACAAAGCAATGAAACCATTATTGTGATGGTTTTTAAAATGTTGTAGAAATCCATAATGAAAAAGAACAGAGCAGAAAATACAACTATCATTGGGCTACAGCTACCAAGGCAATTAAAAAGTTTCTTTTAAAATGAATTTTCCTTTGGTTTTCTCCCTTGGCAGAAGGAATCAGTCTTCCCATTGAGTCTTTTCAGTTGGTTTCTAGCACAGCTAATTGTGTTTATTTGTCTGCAGAATCACATGCTTGCCTCCTCTCTCTCCCTTGCCTTTTCTTAAGGTCTCTTGCCTGCTGTATACTGCTTTACTGCCAGAAATGTCCTCACCTGGGAGCCAGTTGGCTGACAACACAGAGATGTTGTGAGGCCAACTCTGCCTCTCCAGAGATCTGACCCCTCCATACACACTTCCACACCCACAATAAGGGACAGACAGAGATTAGATGAGCTGACTATGGGAGCGGCCATGTCTTTTGCCTTAAATGCATTCACTTAATCCATCACAGTGTTAAGAACAAACCAGAAAGCAAGAAAATACTGTTTATTAACTGATCAAAAGAGTTTTGCTAGTCCAAGAAATTGATTCTCAATATTTTGCCTATGAAAATAAGCTTTTTTGCTTAATACTTTGTCCCTGGGAATCACTGATATTTGCTTGATTTTACTGCCCAGTCTGTCACAGAAGCTAAATAACCTTTAATGTTCTCACCCATGGAGTGTTAAAAGTGATAACTATTACAATGCCACTGAGGAGAAGCCCAGAAATTCCACCTTTGTCCCTCTATGGGATAAGCCAACAAAGACTTCTGTCAATGTCCTTTTCAGAAGACATGTATTTTCTTTAAACATTTATTGTTGCAAATATTTTTTAATAGTTTTCCCCTATTGATATGACTTCTGCTTTTTAAAAATGTCTAGTGGGAAAAACAGTGTGGCGCAAGCCACTTAGCTGTCTCAAGCAGAGTCAGTGCAGGGATAGCAAATTATGGCTCTGTGTCTCAGCTCCCTCCTGAGCCTGGCCTCCCTCCAGAGCCTATGGCAGATATTGTTAATCCATCACGCCTTTCCTCCGAGCTTCATTCCTGGCCAGGAACACCCCCCAGTACATGACTCCAGGAAACCATCAAGCATAAGGGTTGGCATCAATGGCAAATCCAGTTTGCCATTTCCTCAGTAAGGCATCTGTAAAACCCTTCCCACACTAAAACTCTGTGAGCCATTTTGTCTGTGATCACATCAGGTCCTTAACAGCTAAAGTTGTCCTCGCTGGCTAAGAATCCTTCAGGGATGCCAAACTACTTCTGAAAAGCGGATGACAAAAGCAAATGGTTTAAATGTCAATGGCTCAGAGTATTTGGAGGTCAAACTCTCCCTTTCAACTCACAGTATGTCATTCAGTGGGTTTATGCATGGGTTGGTTTATGCATGTAGTCAGTAAGACTACATAAAGTCATCCTTTTGGGGAGAAATGGAACAATCTCAAGAAGAATAAAAGGAAATCAAAATCCAGAGCCTCTCTTTGAGGAGTTCCTAATCTAGTATAGCTATTGCATTAAGCTGAAGTTAGGTTCAGTGTAGTTTAGTGAAATGAGAAAACAAGAAACTTAGTGCCTAGTTATAAGCAAGTCATTATCAGTTAATATAATTCTCAACTTCTGAAGAAGTTTGAAGGCATTACAAGAACAAGACCTCCTTGACAGAGCTTCTTTCAGTGATCATGACAATATCATAAATAACATATTGCACAGTGGAGATGGCTTAGGTCAGTCTGTAGTTGCCAGAAATCATTTCCACCTGATAAGCTGCACAGGCTACTTCAAGTGTGGCTGTCTCTAGGAGGACTGACAGAATGCCAGGCTGTCTTTGTGGGGTGAGATCTTGCTGTGTGTGCATTGGTGTGGGTTTCTTTTGTAGTTTTAACCAACACTACAGTCCTGTGCAAGGAAAAGTCAAACCCACATACTTTGGAATGCCTTGATTTAACACAGTAAGGACAGACAGAGGTACTTTTCCATTTAGAAGTTTCAACTATATATTAGGTGCTGGGGGGAGGGAGAAGAGAAAAATACAGAGAGGTCAGACAAGTCATGAAATTGGTTAAGTATTTTTAAGAATATTTTTTAAAGAGCCCCTCTTCTCCAATTAAAGGTATATTTTTATCTGTTAATGCTTATCTAAAAGTCATAGCTGAGATTACTTGTAGCTTACTATCATACTTTACTTTCTGTATCTTTTTAGATGTTGTATAAAAAGAGGTCAACAAGTAATCATTTACTTGTTACTTGGGAATGCTGAATTGAATTCTCTGGAGGGATAAGTGGCAGGTGAAGCAGAAGGAGGAGTTGGGGAATGAATGTGGCTTTTCAATAGATAAGGCAGTCCTTTGTCAAAGGGAGCACGGGGTGATAGAATTGAAACCTTGAACTTTCTGGTAACATTAAGTTCTTCTGTCTTCCTAGCCCATATGAACTGTGAACTGGCCCAAAGAGTTTCTTACTGATACTGTACCCTTTGTTTCCTAATGGCACTCTGGGGATAAGGATACCCTTTTGGCTTTCAAGTGTACCTTCTTTGAATGTTACATACTAAAATTGAATGTTAATTTATGATAAATTTATATAACACCAGCTATTAGAAAATGAAGCTTAAAATTCAAAAGTGACATTTGCTAGAACTTTAATAACACTTGTGCTTGTGTTCATTTTTTTTAACTTTACCTGAGAAATCCCAACTTGTGAGTCTTTATTATTATTCTGTTTATAGATGGTACTGTTGGTGCCAGAAGATTGTGGTTTATTTTTAAGTATGTGCTTCATTTAATTTGTCAAGAGTAGGGTTTGGGCTGTCTGCTTTCCAGCCTCCTTTGGCTCCAAGATCAATAAAACCTCAAAGAAGAAAACTTTCTTTATAGAGCTTATAATGGATACGCCCTGTTGATATTGATGGTTGTATCTATTACAATATAACTTTGATAAAACAGTGTTCAGTTAAACTAACTTTTACTTACATATTCCACTTTGAATAAAAAGCATCAAAACAAGCAAATTCAATGCTATTAGGACTTTTATTTAAACACAACTTAGGCATGGATTTACACAGTCCAATCTTCTTGACTACTGGCATCTCTATTAGCCAAGCTGCATATTAACATAGACTGTTCTGAATTTTCAAAATTATATTCACCTACCCACTTAGGAAAATGGACTCAGACATTGTAGAGTGATTTCCAATAAATGAGGTTGAAACAGAAAGCATTTCCCACATAGCATAAAAGTTTAGGATTATAGGCTGTGGAGCCTGGCTGCATGGCTATAGATTTTTTGGCAGCTGGATAAAGAGGAGTACTGGGTGAAGAAGAGGG